TCGTTTCTAAAAATAAAATAATAAAAAGTGAATGAAGTCCTCGCTCAAATAAAATATCTGCGACTGTTGATATGTTCATTAGGGTTATAAATTTTTGACTTTTTGAAAAAAAAATTTGAAAAATCACAAATTGATGAACTTTTATTAGAAAAAATTGAAAACATGTATAACTCCTATCGATTGTAAAAAAAGGTCACCCTGCAATTCAAATTACGTTTCGTCATTTATTTAATCTTTTTTGTTTTTTCTTTTTTGGGTATAGTCAACTTGATTGTTGACTATACCCAAAGAAGACATCGAATAAAATTTTCCCAACTAAAATTAGTTAAGAACTATTTAAGATCAACAATGACACATGACACTTTAATTAGTTTTGCTATATTATTCAGTCGATATATTAAAAATATGTGACAAAGATTATTTGATTGATGACTTCTTAACAGAAAAGTGCAGAAATAAAATTGTAAAAAATATTAGTTTTTTAGAGCAAATATTCACTTGTTTAATGGTTTTTGTTTAACTAATAAGTTTTTAAATAAAATACAAGAAATTTTTTTTTTTTTTTGAAAACCCTAATTTCTTCTACCAAAAATTATATAAATATTCATAGACATATGTAGGTATTATTATAAGTTTTTATAGGACTAACCACAATTTATGACGAAAAAATTTAAGGGTCCCTAAACTTGCCTCGGTCTAGAAAAATCCGACCCTGGCTACTCTTGCTGTGCTCCCCATGTAAGAGAACATTGGTAGAAAAAATGTTAGAAAATTATAAAGTATTATGCTAAACTAATAATTTTTGTAAACATAAATTATATTTAAATGTTGCAAACATTATAAAAATTACAAAAAATATTAGTTCCAATATTTTTACCAATTTTTCAACTTTTTTACAATTTCTTGTTAAAACGTGCCAATGCTCTTATCATAAATTTGTAATTAAAAAATAATTGTTCTTATTACTATTTTTTATTATTATTTTCACAATATAATTGTACAGCGACAAACAAATGTTAACAAGAAACAAAACAAAAAACAACAACAACATAAAAAATAAACCAGAAAAGTTTTTTGGATGTCTACAGGTATCGTATGACTCAATCCCATATAGTTGGCAACATTTTGATTGTGATATTATCTACTGCAGTAACTAGTACATATATATATTTTTTATAATTTATTTCGTCGCTACATATTTTACATATAATTAACTTTAATTCATGTATACATTTATAAATAAGATAAAAATTGAATAATTACAAGAGCAAGTAGAAGACTGCAGACTTATCATCAAGCCCCTTTCATTTGCAACTTTGCAATAACTTTCACGTGAGCTTAACGTGACATTAAAAATTCATAAGTAGAAATAAAGCAAATACTTAGCCTTGTACGTAAAAAACGAAGCCTTGTACCTAACTATTTGTACTGCTATATAATCATCGTTTGTGGTCATCCAAAAGGGATAAGTTTGTTTTAGTTATTATTAATTTGATCTTTAAAAATAGGAGAGTATGTTGACGTCACTTAAGTTAAATAGGTGCTGTTTGACAGCAATGTTAAAAAAATAAGCACTAAAAGGTTTAGTAAAGTATGAAAAAATATGAAATTTTTTTTGGCGAAGACAAAAGCACTTTAGGGGTCGTCAATAAATTACGTAGCGCATTTTTTGACCGCTTAAGACCCCCTCAATTCCCTCTTCACAACATCGCAACTCTTTAGTAACAAGTTCACTATGAGGTGTTACAAAAACATTATGAAAATTGTATTTTGGCTAAGTTAATTAAGTCTTGAAACATTTCTACGTCCAACAAAATACGGAAATGGGTATCAAATGATAAATCACTGTTCAGATATTCTCAAATAATTAGATGCACCAATCAATCAACTCATGAACGTAGAGAAATTTTGAAATTCAACATAGTCTCTAGGAAATGGTGACAACTCCCATTTTGTTAATACAATAAACAGTGTACCCGTACCAGCTTTTTTTTGTATTAAGAATATACTGCACTTAATTTTTATTTGAGTGTCATTTTAAATAGCAATGTATTCATTAAACAGTGCCTAATGTAATAAAAACTAAATAAAAATTGTTGTTGTTAATTAGTATTCATTTCGGCATCATTTATGTTTTACATAATCATAATCAGTAATTTTGATGTTCAGAACCTTTTAATTGATGTAATAAAAACTTTAATAACGATTTGTTATTTTATAGTCAATGAAGGTTTTGTCTAATTGTTGGTTAATGTTGAATGTTACCAGTGCACTTTAGGTACTTACCCATTTTTTTAAAAACTTCAACAGTGTCTCTATTATACCCTTATCAGAGGTGGAATAGGGGCAAACATCTAAAACAGTTGATATTTCTATTCACACCACGTGTCGAAAGTAATTATTTTAAAACAAAAATTAAAATTAAAAAGTTTTTTTTTTTCTTGCAGGGCCGACGGTGCCGTTTTTTGGCGTTAAAAAATAGCTAACTTCCAGACATTGGGCAAACTCCAAACATTTATTTGTTTATACTTATGTCAAATAAGGATGCTTTGCAAAATATTGCGATTATTGGAGCCTGGGAACAAAAAAGTTAAAAAATTTGTGCCCCTCAGCCCCAAGCGTGAAATCAACCAATTGATAAAATATTTTTTGTACTATTCTTAACTAGACTAATAATAATTTAAATTTCATAGTAAAATATTTTAGCGTTCAAAAATTATGACAATATAAAGTTTTAATCCCCCTTAATTTGAAGGGGTTTCAAATTTTATATGGTCATATATTTGAACGCTAATAGATTATACTATGAAACTTAAAAATTATCGATGCATTTAAGTCTAGTTAAGAATAGTACATTAAATATTTTATCAACTGGTTGCTCTCACGTTTGGGGCAGGGGGGCACAAGCTATGGGGTTTTTTTGTTCCTAGACTCCAATCATCGCAATTTTTTGCAAAAGCATCTTTACTTGACATAAGTATAAACATATAAATGTTTTGAATTTGCCCAATGTCTGGAAGTTAGCTATTTCTAACGCCAAAAATGGCACCGTTGGCCCTGTCTTGAGCAGCCAATAAAAACAGTTTATTTATTAACATTTCTTTATTAGTTTGGAGCTTTTCAGTAAATATGTTTTTATCAATTTTTTAACAACCTTCCAAAAATTCACCCGATAATTCTCTAACACTGTCAATTAGCAAATTATTTCTTTGGGATCGATTTTCTAGATCTAATAAATTTTTAAAAATATCTTTCAAAATATTAATTCATTATAAATAAAGATGTCTTGCAAAATATTGCGATGAAAAGAGCCTAGGAACAAAACCCCCAGGAGGTTTTGTCCCTCTCATGCCCCAAACGTGGAAGAAACAAGTTGATAAAATATATTTTGTAATATTTTTAATTAGACTTAAATTCATTGATAAATTTAAGTTTCATAGTATAATCTTTCATTGTTAAAAAATTATGACCATAAAAAATTTGTAGTCCTTTAAAATTGAGGGGGTTTAAACTTTATATGGTAATATTTTTTGAATGCTGAAATTTTATAATATGAAACTTAGAATTTATCGATGAATATAAGTTTGATTGAGAATAGTACAAAAAGTATCAAGAAAAACTGATGAAAAAAGCTTATAAGTTCAGTTAACAGAACTTTAGAAATCATGAGAATCAATTAAAAGCTCAATTAATCAAGTTTAGTTGCAATAGTATACATCTATTTGCAAAATAAACAATAACCTATGATAGAAGCATTTGTTTTAGCGAATATGGAGAATATTAGCTCACTTGAAATTTCTATTGATATTTTTGTCTAGTGGTCTAATTTTTGTTACTTTTTTTTCTACATACTACTGGGCCTTCATGCATGACATTTTGCGTAAACTTAATTTCAGTTTATAGCAAATACGTAGATAATCTAAAACTAAAATAAGTAGAGAATCTAAAACTAAAATCATAGTTTATGTAATTTCTTAATTTTCTTGTTGTTTTTTTTCCGTAGCTTTTGTCTTTCTGGTATTCGAATTTGTAAATACTTACCCTATGGAGAATACACCTATTTTTTTGTAACGTGAACTGATTTAGTTTTTTGTTGATGATTTTCAATAATTACGTTTAACTGCTTACATATTTGAACGTTTTGAAAGCAATAAAAAAGATTTTAAAATAATACACTTATACTTCTTATATATAGTTGTATACATTGTTATGTTTTTTTTTGTGTATAATATTAACATAATCTATTATTACATCAATATTCTTCTTGACATTTGAAATATGAAGATTTTTAAAATTTTTAAACAACATTTAATTTTACTTTTATAATTTTGTCATTATTAGGGTTTTCTATTGAAAAAAACATAGACCCGATCTTATATAAAAACATAAGTAACAAGCTTAGTTGGCTTATAGTTTTTACGTTGTTTTGCGCTATGTCAAGGCCTGTTATTATAGAAGGCCATAGTATATATCATTTTATATAAGTGTTAACAAGAGCGTTTCACGAGCTTTTAATTTATTGGTGCAACAATAACCGCTGTCGGACAACTTTTTTTAAGCGGACCAAAAAAAAGGTGGTGCTTTGAAAAGTTGCATTAGTTAATTTGATGGGTTTCAATTGATCATTTAGAATATGTTAAAGCAATTTTCTCCATAAACTTTATATTTAGAACCGAGCCAACCTAAAACATTGTTCGTGCGCCTCCATTAAAACTACACCCCAGATATCAATACCAGATCAATATCAGATATCAATACCAGGAGTTTAAGCAGAACAAAACTAGCTTTAATTATAAGTATATATTTGTTATATATCTTCGTTCATATTAGTGTTTATAAAACAATTTATTTTTTATTACTATTGTTAAGTACTGTTTTAGGTGCATTGTTTGTCTTATTTGTTGCATTGTCTGTCTTATTTGTTTTTAAATTTTCCTCTATTTATCTTTTTTTTTGTATATCACAAAACTATTGAAAATATTAATTTTAAAAAAAAAATTTAATAAAAAATATATAAAATATTGTATATTGTCAAAAACGTTTTCTTTAATATAAAGTAGAAATATTCATCGATTAAAAACTATTTTCCAACTCTTCTTCCCAAGCAGCTAAACAAAACATGATTGAAAAACCGATAAACATTGCCAACATACTGAGAAAACAAGCAATCAGCGGTCTCGTTTTCAATAATTTATTATGCAGAACTTCGGGCAACTAAAAATTACATACTCATATACAAACACGTATATTTAAACACACACAGATATATATATATATATATATATATATATATATATATATATATATATATATATATATATATATATATGTATATATATATAACAATATAATATAAAAAATGTTTTTGTTATATATATATATTACAAAAAATGTTGTTTTAAAAGCCCCCCTAATACATATTCATAAAAAATTTCAAAAAATGTTGTTTTCAGAGCCATTCTAATATATATTTTTAAAACTAGTATTATTTTATTACATTGAACTCGATATATTCTATATTATATATATATATATATATATATATATATATATATATATATATATATATATATATATATATATATATATATATATATATATATATATATATATATATATATATATATATATATATATATATATATATATATATATATGTGCAGATCAAAACACAAAAAAAGGGCAGACCAAAACACAAATTATACAGTAAATGTCGATATTTTATATTTCTTAACATATAGCTATCTCTTCAATAATTATAAAAAATTGAAATAAAATGTTATTGCTTTTCACCAAAATAAATGCTTTATAGATTTTCAAGTACAAGTAAGTTCTATGAAATAGCAAATAAGTTTTTTTAAAAAAGGTATTCTTCTCTAAAACCTCATCACTGCAATGGGAGTGAGTATTTAACTGTATATTTAACACTAATAATATCAATAGTGTTAGAAAATTATAAAATAATATCAATGGTGTTACAAAGTTATATAGCTAAAGTTTTTCTTTTACTCTATTTTTCGTGGAACTTCTTGTTTATTTGTTGAAGGCAAAATTTAAGCAAGTTAGACGCCCTCTTTTAATTGATGAGCAAGTTGCGCAGTTTAAGATAAAATACCTTAGAATTAATTCTGGTCATAAGCGGAACTCTGACTTGCTGAATAAGTCTACTAATCTTTGCTTAGCAAAACATCACTGCTATCATTCAAGTGATAGGGTAAGCACGATTTCACAGCGTTTATAATACATGTTTGTTTGAGAAAATGCAGAGTGTTTTTTGATTTGATTGCATAAATCTGTAAAAAAACTAGTTACATATTTTAATTATTATATTATAGAATGTGGAAGTAGTTACATATTCCCCAGCAAAATTATAAGATTTAGCAGGGTTTTGGACCATAATAAAAATGAGCTATAAATTAGAAAGACATTCTCTTCCTGTTATACATTGACAACTTCCTGTTACTTTTAATGTGTACATTGCCAACTTCCTGTTACTCTTAATATGTATACTTCCTTTGTTCATATGTTATAGAAACTTTTTTACAAGACTTTTATTTGGAAATCAGAATTCATCTGCAATGTAAGTACCATATTTACACTTTTAGAAAAAAAAATTAAAATATTTACTGATGTATTGCATTTATTATAGTTATATATGTGTTGAATGTGTATTTTTATTTTAATGAACAACTGTATTTAGGTTCAGTTAAGTGTTTTATTTGTATAAATAAATTAAAATTGAAATGATAACTCTGGGAAATTCGACCCCCCCCCCCAGATGCAACATTTGTATTTAGTAAAAGAAATAATAAAAAGGAAAGGCCTTCTAAAGGAAAGGGGAAAGGAAAGAAGTTGGTTGAAGGTAAAACAGGTGTTGCTGAACATATTGGCGATAAAGCCATTTTATGCATTAAGTGTGGCATTAACGTTGATGACCCACAAGTGTGTGTGTTGTCTAAAATGCTCCCAACTTACAGCTGAAGAAATTGACAGTCGGATTTCTATTGTAGAAAATGCATTCCGCGTTAATTTATTATTATTTTTTTTTACTAAGAGCATAATTTTTTTATCAAATGAAAATTATTTTCTGACTGTTTATGCATGTAAATCTTTTTTTTTATGTTTTTTTTTTTAATTTTAATGTTTTAATGTACATATTTTAATTTCCTAATCTATTTTTAAAAATGTTTCAAAATAGGGGAATTGCCCCATTTCGTAAATTTTGAATTTAAAAAAAATAAAAATTTTAATGTTTGTTGTTATAATTTTAATTTTTAAACTATGTTTATGTTTATTTATGTAAATAAAAGGAGTTTGTTTAAAAAATGTTTTTCATTCTATATTGCTGTTTGTATACTTTTTTTTAAACTAGGGGTTGGAATTACCCTATCTTAATCTATATTGCAATTTATGCTTAAATGTAAGCATCAAATTACTTTTTATCAAATACATAAATTTATACTTTAAGTTCTATTTACTTCCAATTATTCCAACACTAAATACAAATGTTGTTGCTTCATAATTAACATACTATAAAGTTATGAGTTACTTTAAAATAGAGAATAAGTTAAAATACTAGAGAATGTATAACTGAAGACTTAAAAATGTGTAAGTTGTATAAAAAAGGAAAACATGAAGATGGGTAAAAGTTAAAAGATTTTTTGATGTTCAAAGAAAAAACTAGATTAATAAAAGTTTTTATAGCATGAAGGGACAAATACAATAAAAGGATGCAACTTGTTGAATAAATAGCCAAGCAAAAATGAGTTTTGGTTTATCGTTATAGAGATGATAGCTCGTTTGAGCATTAACCATGATCGTATTTGTAGAAAAAAAGAAAAAAAGAAATGCAACCTTCATTTCAGGAGAGTGGCAGGTCTAGTTACATTTACAATGTGCTTTTAGACTTTGTGTGATAGTAAGAGGGTTGTTACTCGTTAATATAGGAATGCTAACAATATTGCAATATTTTTTTTGCAGTATACAAACTTATTCAGCACTTTTTAAAAGTTTAGCAAAAATTGAAGAGAGTTCTACAGAACACTTTTTTAAGACTGATGGAAATCTTGTCTGGAGCACAAACTGTAGAAGTGTTTAGTTGAGAATAAATTTTAGTATTGGCAGCCAGAGTGATTTCAATGTTTAACAATAGGTTAACCTGTTTAACTGTCAGGAAGAGTATGCCCATTATATTTAAGTGACAAATTAAAGTAAGATTTCTTTGCAAACAACTCTGCTTTATTTTGGGAAGAAGTAAAAAAATTAGACCCATGAATTAAAGATTAAATGTTAGACTTACTTCAGTTAATGACACTGTTAAAGACTAACCAAAAGTCTCTAGAACCTAACATCTGAGATAAGATACAAAATTTTGTAAACTGAGAATAACAGAGCTTAACATCAGACAGGGCTTTTTTACATTGGCTTTCTACAATAATCGAAGGACATTTGCTATTAAGAGAGATTTTCTTGTAAAAAAGATAAAAAAAATTATTAATGTTGAAAAATGTGGAATAGAATGAAGATTTAAAATTGAAGAGAAATAATAAAAGTTTCCTAACTTTTATTCCAGAAGAAATAAAACCATCCTTGATGCACTTTATGCATGCATTTTATGGATATAAACATATTTGCTGGCTATTTATTTAGATGGATGTGTGATTATTTAGATGGATGTGTGATTATTTAGATGGATGTGTGATTATTTAGATGGATGTGTGATTATTTAGATGGATGTGTGATTATTTAGATGGATGTGTGATTATTTAGATGGATGAGCAAGACAAGAAAAAGAGGAATAATCTTAGACCGATTAGAAAAAATCGAATAACGTCTGTTAGAAAAGATTAAAGTACTATAGGTATCATCAAGTAGAGAAGTAGCAGCTTCAGTAGAAAATGGTACTGGTAGAAGTAATAAAAGTTGAAGAGTGCCTTACATATTGTGTGAGCGAGCATTAGTTAGAAAAAAAAAAGTTCTACATTGTTTATATTAGAGAAACAGCATAAAAAAGAAAGGCTAAAGCCTAGGGTTTCTGGTTCGAATATATTCGTAACCGATATTTGCAAATAATTGCTCAAAATTCACTATTCATCATTTGCGAATTGTTGTCAATTATTTGCAAATAATTTTGTTGTTTTTTTTCTTCTGATTTTTTGTGAGAAAATTAATTAATTCCATTCCATTATGCATAATTCTTTTTATCCCTAATTCCTGTCAGGAATTATGCATAACAGGAATTATTCATAATGGGAAGACACCAATTAATTTTTTAAGAAAATAAATTAATTGGTATCTTCCCATTAAAAAACTACAAAAATTAGATGATAACGAAAAAATTTTTTCCAATTGAGTAGAGGTTGGACAGCTTGTTTTTAATGAATTTTGTAACAATCCGATGTTTTCCGTTTTTTTCCCTGTTAATTTGAATAAATTAAACTCTTGTCTAAGTTTATCAAAACCAGTTGAACTTTTTTTTTCTTTGGTGGCTTTTACAATAGATGAATTCAATTCATCTAAAAGACTGGCAAATTCATTTTCTGGGGATATAGTTTCTATAACTTCATTACTTTGGTTGCCATCATCGTTGTTTTCAAGAGGATATAAGCGATTTAATCTAAGCTACAGACGAATACTATCTAAATCTTCAAGTGCATTTTTTATACTACTTTGAAGTAATAATGCGCGCTCTAACATCGTATCGATGGAATTCCAACGCGTTTTCACATCTAGTAACAATTCCAACGGTTTTTTATGTTGTTCGAGTAAGTGTTGTTGTAATACATTGTTTATAACGGTCGATTTAACTAGTTTACGTAGAGATTCCAGCTTTAATTTCATTAAAGATGATAAATTAAGTGATGATGACTGGCCATATCATAATTGGACTCATCATTTTCATCATCAGTAGAATCTGGAGACGTTATCAACAACCTCAGAGTTTTCAGTCATAACGTCAATTACAGCCAAATGCAACGCGTGATTATAACACAGTTGGGTGATTGTAGGTGATTCTCAGCCTAATTTTACCATAACAGCGGCGCCATCTGTTGTGCAAGCCACAATATCAGTATCAAAACTGATGTCAAACCATCTTAGATGTTCACAAACTATCATTTGCAATGTTTTTGCATCTGCACGACAAGGAATGCGAGCCAAACCAAGATTAAAAAAATCTCCATCATGTGTATGAATATTTATATTCAAATATTTTC